ATTTTTGAGAATAGAATTTGATTGGCTCAAGCCGGCTAAGCCGTTTAAAAATTTCTTAGCCGGCTAACATCACTAGTAATAAGGTATTGATATAATTATGTTTATCATACTGCCATGTAAAGTTGAAAAAAAAACTTACATTTCGAATCTTTTTTTGCTTTTTGATCAAATCTAATAGTTCATTCAGATTTGGAAATTTATGGAACATTGTTAAAAAAAAACGTCGAGAAAAGGATGTCACGAAATTGCATAGCGAGTGTTTGGTAAATTCTATGCGATGTCGATGTGAGCTTATAATACAAAAATAATGGAAAACATATAAAAAAACCACTGTTTTTAAACTTTTAAAGAAATGTACTTAATTCCGTTTATTTTTTTTTTGCAATACACTATATATATTTATATGTTCATTTTCAATGACCACATTCTAATTGATTGCTTGCCTTCTAATTCCAAGTGGATTAACTTCTCCATACGACATGGATATTTACATTTTTCTTCATATATAAGTTTGGCATTATATTTGCACTTGGTCTCCAAACATCTTTAGAAGAGGGTGCTACTTTCCTCCAATGAAAAAAAAAATCACATTTGCAATTGAGAATTTTTGTGTAAAAAGTCCTCGCAATTGTCTTGGCATTATCATCATGGATAAAATTTTATTATTATGCATGTTCAATGACGATAGGGATCGTATTTTAATTTAACATTTTTTTTATTTAGTCAAAATCAATCTTACAATAAGGGTCATTTCTTTCTAAGAATAAAAGCTCGTTAATAGGTTTAGGTGCTAAACATGTGCGTTTAGGATTTATCTGAATACCAGCATCGCTGAAAAGTCTCTCAGCAGGCATTGTTATTGAGAAATATTTTCAAGATAAGATTGATTTTTTTTTTTTGAAAAAAAAAATATATTATGCATATATATATATGGTACATTGATTCATTTTAATTGAAATAATACCGGATTTTGGATTTTTATTACTATTACGTATTTCCTAATAATATTCAAGGTTTTCTTTTGTCATTGGATGTATTACCAGTATTAAAACATTCATTATCAAAAGTCTCATCAAATGATTCATAAAATCCACTTGTTTACATTCACTATTACAGTGTTGATTAGGAGATATTAGCTAATGAAAGAATGTAATATTATTTATTATTTTATGTGGGAATTACATGAATGCCAAAAAATGGAAAGAAGAAAACGAAAACATACAAAGCCTGTTTTTTGACGATACTTTTCTTTTATCCAGTTTCAGGTAATGAATCAATGTACTCTACAAATTCTTTATTTTTAAAATTTTGATACATATTGCTTATGAATTTTATGATTAGAGGAAATGTGAGTGAAGGCGAACGAATATTATTGTACAATTTGATCATGTGATATTATCACACAGCTATGGAAACCGTGCATTAAAAAAAAAATTATTGCGGGGTAAGAAACATTGTCGCTATGGTGCCAATCATCTATAGAATAAAACTAAGTTTTTTTTTTAATCTTGCATGGTCATTGAGCTTATACATTTTAAAGTTTAGCCAAAATTTTTGATATCTTTAGATGATCGGCACCATACTTGACAAGATTATCTTTATTATATGCTAAAAATTCCAATCAAACTTCTAGATGGAAATTTGGAATAGTCAGACGTACAACAAACCAGTTATTGACTAAAAAAAATGGAAATTGTAACACCAAAATTTGATGGTTAACCAATTTAAAATTAACCGGCTAATCAAAAATAATTTAACCGGTTAATATTGTTTGCAATTAACTGGTTTTAAAAATCATGATATTATTTATCGGATGATTTTTGAAAAATATTGATTTCTAATACTCTCTGCCAATTTAAATTTCACGCACAACGTTTAGTAAAATAATAAAAACCCCCGATTTTTAGTGAATTCATACAAAGTATGATATTTGTCTACTAAATTATTAGATAAAAAATTTATTCAAGTTCTTAGCCGGCTAACATCACTACTTATTACAAATAGCTTGTAATCTCTACCATCATTCAAGAACAATTCAATGATAATAGAATTTGTTATATCTAATTGCATATTAATATTTCAAACGATCCAAATAAATGAATGAAATCGAATGATTCAAATCAATCAAATTATTCGAATCGAACGAATCGAACGAATCGAACGAATCAATTTTTTTTATTATTATTATTCGAATCAATAATTCGAGTTAAAGGCAAACTATTTCATCTAACAACAACAAATAATAGTTAATGTATAATGTCTAGATTATTAAAAGTTTAGTTTGCTTGATTATAAGATTTAATAGAAAACATTAGGTCAGAATAAAGAAAATATTTGACCTATTGTTCTTATATCACTTATGTCATTATCCATTTTTATTAAAATTTAAAGATAAGCATTACTATCCAATACTAATAATATACTATGGTGCAGATCATTGCTTATTAGTAACAATTGGTCAGCTTCAAAAATGCTACGTATATAAAAACAAAAAACTTTTAAAAAGTTAGCCGATGAGTTTTATTGTTCATGACTCAAGCTTCAAAACTTATCGGCTAGTTTTTTCTTAACCTATAAATTAGCAGAACTTTAGCGTTTTGAAAATTCCAAATTTTGTTATACGCTTGTAAGTGACAAAAAATCATGAAAATAACTAAAATTTTAAAAAAAATTGACTTTTTTTTTTACATGAATTGAATGGTGGTGGTTTTTAAAATCCAACATGTGGATCACATAATATTTCAAATTTGAGTACAAATGATCCGCGCCGTATAATTCATAGTTCAATACTGGTAAACAACCATCTATCAACGCTGCTTATCACGCTGTAAACTGCTCGCCAGCTACAACTTATTAAATTGAAAAGATGCTAATGCCGGTCAACTTATAACTAGTAACATACCATACTGAAATGATACTATCCCACAATTGAATAAATTGCTTCTCTTAGGGTGTTGTAAAGACAATGGGATTAAAATGTCAGAACATATGAAATACGGCAAAAGACATTAGGATAAAATGCATATAAAGCTATTTCAATTCGATAGATATCAAAAATACGTTTCTAACGTACATTAGTATTAGCATTAGTAGTTTTCTGTCACACGGTGGAATAATCTTGCCACTTAATATGGTTTTCTCGGTCTAAAGACCACCTATTTCTGCGCCATACGCTCAAATTAATTAACGTTAACATCAACGTCAACGTCATCATTTACATTGATTTTACATCAATGTTGACGTTAAGCGCTGTCAAATTTTTTTTTAACGGATGGAAGTTCTATTTATAATAAAAAGAAAAGATGTCGGTCCAATAAAAAAAAGCCTAAGCTGACTATAAATTACATACATCCCTTCTGCCCCTTTGATTTATATAATAATAGATAAACTTATATTTAAATAATTAAAGCCACCGTTAAATGTTTCAGCATTTTAATTAATTTATAAAAATAAATTTCTTAGAATAGAATTAAGCTTTAGTTTAAGAAATGCCTTCTAAATTCGAGTAATAAAAATGAATATAAAATGAAGGAATGTTAATTGATCAAATTCATAATACAGTTGGAACTCGATAAGACGTGACTCGATAAAACGAATTTTTGTTATAACGAAGTTTTTCTAGTTTCCCTATTCATTTATTAATAAAATCAACTCGATAAGACGAATATTCCTATTGTTTCACTTAAATGTTTAAGACAGGGTTTGCATATGGTTCCACATATATTAAATATAACTCGATAAGACGAATAATACGGTTTATCGAAAGAAACTTCGCTTTATTTTGTATAATTTTATAAATGATTTACAGTAGTAGTAGTATATATTGTTCTACATTAAGATAAAATGAAAAATACACTTGGTCATTGAGCTTATACATTTTAAAGTTTAGCCAAAATTTTTGATATCTTTAGATGATCGGCACCATACTTGACAAGATTATCTTTATTATATGCTAAAAATTCCAATCAAACTTCTAGATGGAAATTTGGAATAGTCAGACGTACAACAAACCAGTTATTGACTAAAAAAAATGGAAATTGTAACACCAAAATTTGATGGTTAACCAATTTAAAATTAACCGGCTAATCAAAAATAATTTAACCGGTTAATATTGTTTGCAATTAACTGGTTTTAAAAATCATGATATTATTTATCGGATGATTTTTGAAAAATAATGATAAATGAAATGAATAATTTACATCATTCACATCATTCACATCATTTAGATCATGCCTAAATTTGATTTGA